TTTAAAAAGCAGTGCTCAATACAATTCTGCAGAGCATAAATATTATAAATTTACTAATTTAAAAATAAGGTTTCATCACTACACAGGAATTATCATGTTTCAAATACAGAAACTAAAAACTTCAAATTTAATTATAGAACTAAATTAAAATCCCTAGTAATGTTTCATTTTTAAGCGAATTTTGGAATAACTTATTTTGAAATTTACTGAGTTTTATAAGCACATCCTTTTATAATATTAGTTTCTAAGGATACGGGGAAATTCAATCATTTTGACAAGGGGTGGTAGGGTATTCATTTTCACTGAAAATTATGTCTATTTATTTTCATAATAATCATTTCTAGGTTTCTAATCAAGTAAGAAAAATTCTTGGGCAAGATTAAAAACACCATGTCTATAACTGATAAATTAAAATTTTTAAATAATTGTAACATTGCGGGTTCATACGTGTTTTCAATAACCATCATCACAACAATTATACTTGCAGTAATTTGGTCTTTGCAATACATCCCTGAGGATGATCTCTGATCGGTGGAGATCGAAAGTACTTGGGTTAACAAAAACTAAGACGCCTTCCTTGGTGAATTTCAACTTAACATCAGAAAGCTGTTTAGAGAACTAGAAAAGATTATTATAAATACAGATATAATATGTCTATAATATTTAATGGAATTTATATCTGTGTGTATATATATATGTGTGTGTGTGTGTATATATATATATATATATATATATATATATATATATATATATATACAGAAATGTATGATGCCACAATTGTCGTCTAAATTACGGAAAAATGAAAATATCACTAACACCTCATTTTAACAGATATATTTACCAAAAATAGAAATATCTTCAAATAGTAAATAATAAATTTATTTAATAAAATCGCCATTGGCTTCAATCACGGCCTCCAGATGATTTCGGAATCTCCTGCAACTCTTCTAGACGGTGTCCTTGTTTAGGCTGGTAAATGTTGCCATAATTCCTGACTTCAGTTCATCATTTCTGTTACAAAGAGTTTTGTTGGTCTTTCGCCCCTTGTGGGTGTAGTAATCTGGGGAGTTAGGTGACTAGATGTAAGGGTTAATGCGGTTGCAGAAATTGCCTGATAGCCATGACAGGGTTCTCCTGCTTATATGGCATGGTGCAGCGTCCTGTTTTCTAACATAGAGTCTTTCAGCAGCCATCCTCTTGACCCAGGGCAATTCTACCTCCTCGAGGCACGATGTAGGCCTACGTGTTGAACATGGGACCCTCACCAACAAATCCTGGAATTCTTTTCTTATCAGAACGATCAGAGAGAGTTTTCTGAGTTGCTGTATCTTCGTAATCACCATTAGACTCATCCAACTCTTTCCGAATCCTCTGCACTGTCCTCAGACTTACATCCAAACACTCTGAAATGTTTGTATTTGTCGCGAATGCAAAGCCGTATAGTATGCCGTTTCCATTTTTTTTCTGTTGGAATGAATTGTGCCATAATGCTGTTTTTCTCACAGAAGGAGCTCAAATGTACTGTACTGTACTGTACCGTCAACAAATTCAAAAATGAACAACGCGCATGCGCAAAATTAAAACTTTAAAATGACGACAATTTATCCATCGCATTATATATATAGAGAGAGAGAGAGAGAAAGAAAGAGAGAGTGAGATACAGTATCTATCTCTCTCTCTCTCTCTATATATATATATATATATATATATATATATATATATATGCGCGCGCTCTCGCGCGTGTGTGTGTGTGTGTGTGCTGGATCAGAATCGTTCGTAGCGATTTTTTATTGTATTTCAAAAACAGTATTTATATCTTCGTAAATGGATTTATTTAACGACACATTTACCAATTTTTTTACACTACCTTTCCTTATTATTGAAGCAGCTTCATGATTCCATCCTCTGAGAACTTGCCATCTCTCTGGGTGATGGATTGTTCTAAGTAGATTTTACAGACTACCAGGGAACTGAAGTTGTTGTCTTTAAGATAATTTTGCCGGCATCGAAATAACTAATAATCTATTTAAAAGCAAATTCGATAGGTTCACCAAGATAAAACTAGAAGATGTTATCGAAAGTGATCTCCAATCATTTGTTAATTGGGGCAAGTAAATTTAACGCCTGCAAAACGAATCTGCTATATTTTAATAATCATAACAATTTTTGCCGGCCATCAGCATGACTAATGCTAACCTTCAGAAGAACAACTCATTGCGTCTTTTTCGTCTACTGACATGAAGTGGCGTGATTATATTGAATTAATTGCTAAGTGTGTAGCTAAAAAGGACGGTCCACTTGTATTAATTGCTAAGTGTGTAGATAAAAAGGACGGTCCATTTGAATTAATTGCTAAATGTGTAGCTAAAAAGGACGGTCCACTTGAATTAATTACTCAGTGTGTGGCTACAAAGGACGGTCCACTTGAATTAATTGCTATGTGTGTAGCTAAAAAGGACCGTCCACACTGACATGACACTTTTTCTGGGTAGAATTTTGCCCATTTATAAATCTCTCATTCGACCATGCATTGAATATTACAGCCATAACTTGTCTCGTGACCCGTGTCTCGTGAGATTCTCGACAAAATTCAAAGACGAGCCTGTAATTTTGTCGGTCCTGACCTGGCATCTCGGCTCCCCCAAACCCCTTATTCACTGCCGTGTCTTTTTTATAAATATTTTCATGACAGTTGTTCTCAGCGTCCTACCAGATTGGCAATTAGGTCCTATTTTTTACTGTTGAAATAGACAGATGTAAACAATAAATTCTATTCTATTTTTTTCTCGCACTTTTCGCAAATTGAACTCTATTTCAGTTTTTTTTTTTTTTTTGCAGCCCTGTCGCCAATAATCTTTTAAATGCAGCAACAATCACAATTGTTTGTCCTACTGGTCCGTGTTCTTTTATTCTCCTTTTTTCTCGATAAAATATTCAGATTCTCTTTCATACCCAATAACCCCCTGCATCTTACTGGCATCGTCGCTCTGCTCGGGGTGAAATAATAGTGCAAAGTGAGTTGTGTACGACGATTGCAGTAGAACAACCGACCAAAGTGTACTAATTTTTGGCGGGTCGGCAAAAATCTTGTGGTTTGACCTTGTCCTGATAGAAAACGACGTCATTCCGATTGGTAAATTCCTAAAAGAATTGTTGCTTGTTGCCTTATTTTGGTCCATTTGGGAACAGTAATTGTCTGAATTCAACGTTTGATTTTGAGAAAGATTCTTGTAGCAGACAGTTCCCTTCCAATCCCATCACATACAAATCATCCGATTCTTCGGGTATAAATTGGCATTTGAAATGGTCAATTATTTACGTTTTTACCAATACTTTTTCCATCCATATTGTTGTAAACACTTCATTTTAAATCGCCTGTGATAGTTCTTTTTTTAAATAATTTCACCCCAAGCAAGGCAACAAAGCCACTAAAATGCAAAAGAATTAGCGAAAAAGAAACACGTTAATAAAGAGAGAGAACAATAAAAGTACAGTAATTAAGAAGATAAAAGATAACGATTGAGATTTCATTTAAATTCTGGAAGATCAACGTTGACTGGAAAGCAAGAGGCAGGGAAAATGTTCGACCAACGAGAAGTGCGACAGATAGAACTACTAGCATAAATTAAAACGAAGATGGGCCGTTTTGTTTTTTCGTTTATGTAGTGAATCACAAGTGGAAATAGGGCTCATTATGTATTTTCTGTTAATTTGCGAGGCAACTAAAGACCATAGCCATTCACTTATCCAAATATTTTCAAATGCCTTAAACCGAGATATGCGAATTATCTCTGCGATGCTTCATGTCATGTAACCTAAATTCTTTAAAATCAGCCTGTTGACTTAGTCATCATCAGCAATTGCAAGTCTAGGAAAGCGTTCTCGGTCTTCCACATAAATATTTCCACTTCTAAACCGAACAAGCCATTTACGAACAGTACACTCAGCCATGGTACCATGTCCATAAACGGCACATATCATTTTTGCTGTTTATTATGTGTTTTTTTCTTTCCTGAAAAAGAACGAAGAGCCCGTAATGAGATTTGCAGGTGGGAAACACTAGAATCAAGCAGACGCGAAAGTTTAAATATCTGTGAAGCGTCTTGACACTGAAATCCGTAGACGTATTGGGATGGCCAAGGACGCATTCCAAAACCTGGGCAGATGTTGCGAGATAGAAGGATTTCTTTGGTAACAAAGAAATGAATACTGGGCTGTTAAGTGATATCTGTCATTCTTTACGGTAGCGAATGTTGGAGGATTTCCTCAAAGATGAAGAAGAGACTCGGAGAGGTGGTTCTACAGAAGGATGCTAAGGATGTCATCGACCGAGCGTGTGAGCAACGATGAGGTCTTAGAGAGGTTGCAAACAAGGAGAAGGCTTATAATTAACATCAAGAAAAGGCTGCTGAAGTTTCTGGGACACATAATGAGGAAGAAGGGCCTGGAGAATCTGATACTCACGGGTCGAATAGAGACAAGGGAAAGCAGCGCGTGACATACTTTGTGAGCTTGAGCCGGTGGATGACAGAATGTAGTCTGGGGAGGAAGCAAAGGGAAGGAACGTGTTGAGAGCTGCAAGGGATAGAGGGAGGTGGAGTGACATGATCGCCTACGTCCTGACAGGACATGTCACATAAAAAGAAGTTCAAATAAACGTTCTGCCTGGATTTCTTTTTGTATGACTTTAATATAACTAATATTGTTAGATAGGACATCGGTGTCAACAGTTACTCATGTTCTTCCTATACGACACTTTATATAATATCAATGTAACTTTAATATAACTTTATATACCTATTGATATAATTTTACATAACTTTAATATACGTCGAACAAAGTAATCATTTCGTGGAGAAAATTATTTGAACAATAATAAGCGTACTGAAAAAAAAATAAGCACAATGCCGGAGGAAAATTTGAAGGAAAATAATTTAATCATTTGTGTTTGATACAAATGATTACATCGAAGGAAAAGATGAAAAAGGGAATTTCCAAACGAAAGGTTAGAGAATATGATTTCAGAAAGAATGGGGTGGGGAGTAAATGAAAAGAGAGAACTTGTAAGAAAGAAGGAGCAAGAGAAATACAAAGGAAGAGAGAGAAAATAATAGAATGAGAGAGAAAGAGAGAGAGAGCACAAAATGTAGAAAGGTAAATGAAGAACGTGAAAGACAAAGAGGATGCGAGAGGGATCATGGGAAATTTTGAGCACCAAAAAATAAATAAAAAGAAAGAGAATGAACAAGCAAGAAAAAGAAATAGGGAACGAAAAAAAAAACAAGTAAAAAGAGAGAAAGAAAAGTAAAAAGCAACAGCGGATGAGAGAGAGAGAGAGAGAAAGAGAGAGAATAAGCAAGACATATATAGATATAGAAAGAAAGATTAAAGAGGAATAGCAAGAGAAATAAATAAGAAGAGGGAAGAGAAAAAAGAGAATGATCATGGAATGGAGAGAATGAAGGAAAAAGCGAGAGGGTAAGAGAAAAAAGTGGACAAATGAATCGGAGGGAGCAATAGAAAGAAAGAAAGAAAGAAAGAAAGATCAAGACAGTGCGAGAGGAACCGAGAGAAGAAAATGAAAGAGAAAGAACCGGGAAAAGAGAGAGCAAGAAAAAGGAAAGAGATAGCAAGAGAGAGGAAAAAAGAAAGAGCAAGAAAGAGAATATGAGCTGGAGAGAACAAGAGAAAGAGAAATCGCGGTAAAAGAGAGGAAGGGTAAAGAAAGAGCAAGAAAGAGAGAAAAAGACAGAGAGAAATAGAAATAGAAAGGGAGAAAGAAAGTGAGAGAGTAAATGAAAAAGAGAGGGAAAGAGATACTACGATCAAAAGAAAGAAATGGAAATGGCGACCAAGAGAAAGAAAGAGCGAGACGGAAAAAGCAACAGAAAAAGAGAATGGGAGAAAGAGTTTAAAGAGTGAAAGATCGACGAAAGAAATAAACATGATTTGGTCGAACACGTGAAAAACATTTTGTACGGGAGATGATTATGTGCGTCACCCTTCTTTTCCCTGTCTTCACAAAAGCGAATATCGCAGACGTGTACGTTGGTATGTTTATTCAATTATTTATCTAGCAAAGGGTATATTCCATTTCCCGGAAGTACTTCTGAGGGAGTCCAGCGGTTACCGTATCGGTTGGAAGCGGCGGCAGAAAGATGGCTAGGGACGATCCATCTCTTCCACACCCCTATCCAACATCATCGCAATCCTCGCTTGTAGGATTCTGCCAAAACAATAAAGATAATATATATCTTACATCATCCCTGTTTTTCATCATTTTTCTGTAATCTGCCATCTTTCTTAACCTAGTTTTTTTCAATTCTGCTACCACTGAACCTTGCCATGGTTGACTATGGAAGTAACAGCCATTAGCGGTTATTGCCTGGGCCGGTTAGGGAGATATGTAAGAGATATTTTGCCAATTCATAACTCATATGTTTTTCGTTCTAAATCATTTTGCTAAACCGGTTTTGTTTTTGGTGTGTAGAAGTCAAGGCGTGTTACTATGGATTGTCTGAAAAGGTACTGACACAGCAGAGAAAAGGTGCCGGTATAACAGAGAAAAGGTACTGACACACAGAGAAGTGGTGCCGGTACAGCAGAGAAAGGGTACTGACACAGCAGAGAAAAAGTGCCGGTACAACAGAGAAAAGGTACTGACACAGCAGAGAAAAAGTGCCGGTACAACAGAGAAAAGGTACTGAAACAGCTGAGAAAAGGTACTGACACAGCAGAGAACAGGTGCCGGTACAGCAGAGAAAAGGTACCGGTACAGCTGAAAAAAGGTACCGACACAGGAGAGAAAAGGTACTGACACAGCTGAGAAAAGCTACTGACAAAGCTGTGAAAAGCTACTGACAAAGCTGTGAAAAGGTACTAACAAAGCTTAGAAAAGGTGCCGGTACAGCAGAGAAAAGGTACTGACACAGTTGAGAAAAGTTACTGACAGAGCTGAGAAAAGGTACTGACACAGCTGAGAAAAGGTGCCGGTACAGCAGAGAAAAGGTACTGACGCAGCTGAGAAAAGGTACTGACTCAGCTGAGAAAAAGGTACTAGCACAGCAAAGAAAAAGGTGCCGTTACAGCAGAGTAAAAGTACCGACACAGCTGAAAAAAAGGTACTGACACAGCTGAGAAAAGGTGCCAGTACAGCAGAGAAAAGGTACTGACGCAGCTGAGAAAAGGTACTGACACAGCTGAGAAAAGGTACTGACACAGCTGAGAAAAGGTACTGACACAGCAAAGAAAAGGTACTGACACAGCTGAGAAAAGGTACTGACACAGCAAAGAAAAGGTGCCGTTACAGCAGAGTAAAAGTACCGACACAGCTGAGAAAAGGTACTGACACAGCTGAGAAAAGGTGCCGGTACAGCAGAGAAAAGGTACTGACGCAGCTGAGAAAAGGTACTGACACAGCTGAGAAAAGGTACTGACACAGCTGAGAAAAGGTACTGACACAGCAAAGAAAAGGTACTGACACAGCTGAGAAAAGGTACTGACACAGCAAAGAAAAGGTGCCGTTACAGCAGTAAAAGTACTGACACAGCTGAGAAAAGCTACTGACACAGCTGAGAAAAGGTGCCGGTACAGCAGAGAAAAGGTGCCGGTACAGCAGAGAAAAGCTACTGACACAGGAGAGAAAAGGTACCAACACTGCAGAGAAGCAGTACCGGTACAGGAAGGAAATGATACCAGTCCAGTGCAGAAAAAATACCTGTATGGCAGAAAAAATAAAGTGGTACGTCAGAGAAAAGGTTTAATTACGGTATAAAAAATTGAACAGGTACGTCGTCACACATAAGGTACCAGAACGGTAGAAAAAAGTACCAATACTACATGGAAAAGTTTCCGGTACAACAGTTTCCGGTTGAACAGAGGAAAGGTTGCTTATTATATAGAAGAGGCACCAGTACTATAGAAAAAAAATGAACACTACAGCATTGAAAAGGTAGAGGTACAGAATAAAAAAAATGTATAAGTACAACAGAGAAAATATACCTTCACAGCAGAGAAAAGATATCAAAACAGTACAGAAAAGGTATTGGTATCTATATCTATAATTCTTAAAATGTGTGTGTGTATGTATGTGTGTGTGTGTGATCGGATGTTGTTGATGCGTTTCCACTGTTTTCATCCGATTACGATGAAATTTTTTTGTTTGATAGATAATTCTTCAATGCCGGTTTTGAGTCCAAATTGGCTGGAAAAAATTTCAACCTTGAAGGTGAAAAATCGGGAAAAAATACTGACTTTTTACATTTTGCGCAAAATTCAAAGACAAAATTTAATGTTTGCAAAAAGCAGCGTACAATCGATTTTGATTGTTGAAATCTAACGCAAAAGATTATTAGAATTATATAAAAAAATATATTATAAAAAAAAAAATATCGTATATTATTATTATGATGGTCCATGGAAGAGGTTCCTTCCTTGCAAGATTGAGAACGCAAAAATAGCCTTTTTCAGCGCCCGCACCATTCAAATTTTTAACGCCCTCTATTGAGGGTATATGCTTCAGTTGCACCCAATTGTTGTTACTAATATTGATTTTCGAATGGGCTGACTTTAAATTTAAACTGCTGTGACGTCGTCCCCCGGTCGCAGCGCCAACTGTGATGTTCTATCCTGATCTACCACGGCGCCAGTTGTGACGTGGCCGTTCCAGGGCCCTATCCCGGTCACGACACCAGTTGTGACGTCCCTAAACAGCACCAATTGTGACGTCATCGCCGCGGCGCCAGCTGTTCGCTCCTCGCTGCTCCGTCCGGGTGTCGCTGCTCCAAACGTGACGTTCGCCTGTCGCTTCAGTCGTGTTGTCTCGTACTGTGACGACCAACTGGCTTGCTATCGGTCGCGGCACCCAAATGTGACGTTCTAACCTTTTGGTGATTCGGGTGGGAATCTGGTTAGATTTGATATCAGCCTCGCCGTTCCCAACTCGCTTCCAATGCCTGGTTACCAAGGTAACTGCATTGATCTCCAGTCCGCCTACCCACGCTGTGAATTGATCTTAGGCAGACGAAATCAATCAGTAGTTGGGGCCGTAATGCAAATCGGGTTCAACGGGGGTGACACCACACAAATATGCATAAAATAAAATAAAATGATAACTCAAAAATTCAAGGTATCAAAAAAAGGATAACAAACTTTATGTCTAGTTGTTGGATACATAGGACTGCGTCTATTTCCCGACCCGTTCTATGGATTGTGACACGTTGTTTTCCGTTAGGCGAGTTTTAACGCTTCAAGTTGTTTGCTCTTTAAGAAATTGGTTTTTCGGTGTGTCTTCGGACGAAAGTCGAAAAAAACTTATTTTGGTGGTCTGGATCTAAGTCGCTCTTCAAATTAATTGTTCTTGGATTGAAGAGGAGTCCGGAATTTGCGCGAATCTTTCAAGTCAGCTATCTGCGAGGCGGAACCAACTTAACTTGAACTGAAACTGCAACTCATCTGAAACTGATTTCTGCTTGCTGCGACTTCGCTTATATGGACGCCGACCAAAACCGGGGTGGGTTTGTCGGCGCCGGGGGTTCCTCGATAATTCTAAATACATATCCACCTCTTTTATTTCTGTGAATTGATCTTAGACAGACGAGATCAAACAGGGGTTGGGGCCGTAATGCAAATTGAGTTCAACGGGGGTGATAACACACAAATATGCATAAAAAGAAAAGAAAATGAAAACTCAAAAGTTCAAAGTATCAAAGAAAAAAAGGTAACAAACTTTATGTCTAGTTGTTCGATACATAGGACTGCTTCTATCTCCCGACCCGTTCTGTGGATTGTGACACGTCGCTTTTGCTAGGGCAAGTTTTTAACGCTTCAAGTTGTTTGCTCTCTAAGAAATTTGTGTTTCGGTGTGTCTCTGGACGAAAGTCGAAAAACTTATTTCGGTGGTCTGGTTCTAAGTCGCTCTTCAAAATAATTGTTCTTGGTTGAAGAGGAGTCCGCAATTTTGCGTGAATCTTGGTCAGTCATCTTGAGGCGGCTTCAACTCTGGAAACTGGAGCTCGAACTTTGGATACTCATCTCTGCCGCCAGGGCCGAACGAACTGGACATCTCTGCCGTCAGGGCTCGAACTACTGGACACTCATCCCTGCCCTCGGGGCGCGAACTAACTTCTGCCCGCCAGGGTCCGAACTGATTTCTGCCTGTCAGGGCCTGGCTTTTTATTGACGCCGACAAAAACCGGGTTAGGTCTGTTGGCGTCGGGGAGTTTCTCGATAATTCTAAATACATATCCACCTCTTTTATTTCTGGTTAGGGACTTTCCACTCTTTTCCATTTTTGGTAACTTTTTTCACTCCCACTTTCTCACCATGCTTCTGAGGGGCGTGAACTGCCCTCCCTACTTCTTCGTAGCGGCTTCTCATACTTATACTCTGGATGGGGGCGTCAACAGCCTTCTTCGTGCGTCACGTGATCACTCTCGGCCAATGAGGTCTTGGTCAAGTATCTTTCCTCCTCCTTCGTGATCACCACTTGACCAATGACGTCTTAGTCGGGCGTGAACAACCCGCGGCTTTGTTTCGGAAAAAAAATACCTTGCTTAACTAAAAAAAATTAATTATCCCTTCTCTTTCCTTTTTTTTTTCTTCCTTTCAAATCGCCGTTATCATGAACGGATAATATGACAACTCTTTGTTCAACACGTGGCGTTTGTCAAGCAGTTTATCGCCAATTCATCAGATGACATGGCCTCAGAAAAGAATTTTCTCCAAGTTTTCAGTCGGTCTGACGTCTCAAGGAAGAAATAAAACATTTCTTATTCCATTCATTTTCCTTCGGTTCATGTGTCTGATAACAAAATTTTATTATCGCAGGGCAAAAGTTTGTTTTAGCGAGACTGCTTGTGTGGGATTTTAATTTTCCATATCTAGCTAAGGCTCCGTACCTACATCTGTGTTTTGTCAATTATCAAAATCTAACGTTTTCAAGTGGACTTTCTTTGGCGAACATTTCTTGATAACACAATTCCATTCGCGCAGGCCAAGTAGGAAAATCGGTCAATGATTGCTCGCAGGTGGCCTTTAATTTTCATATCTGTCCAAAAGTCTTTTTTTTAGTCGCCTGTTTCTTGTTGTCACTTATCGAAATAACATTTTCGCTTGAATTTTTCCCTTGGCCGGTGGCCTGTGTTTTGATAATAAGATGCCTTCTTGTACCAATAGTTTGTTTTCATATCCTTAGATAACACTTCACTACCCACTCAATCTCATTGTCATTGTAATGACACTCTTTTCGCCATTTGCCACTTATCCAAAATAACCCTTTTTTTTTATTACCTCTCAAGCCGTGTGTGTGTGTTCGCTTATCACCTATGATCCGTCTCGCATTACTTTTTCCCTTCCTTTCTTCTTTTCTTTCCTTTTCCCTTTTTGCCTTTCTTTCTCTGCCTGGATGCATGGTGCCACACTGCTCCAATGGAACGGCAAAAATTCCCAATAATGAAACATCCGGTCGTCGACGGGTTATACTGCTGGTAATATACATAAGGTAACAGGTGGCCACCTCGACGTAGTGTAATAGTCAAAAAGATTGTCTTGCTAGATCAATTACGACTGAGTAGTGAGTTCGATCCTCACTGGGTGTCCCATACTTTCGGCCTTGTGTCACATCTAAGCTGGGCTTAGAAAATCACTACATAAGGTAACAGGGTAGAAGTGACAATTATCGATACTCATAGAAAAGATACAACAGAGAAAAGTTACAAATACTGCAAAGAAAAGAATTGTGGTCGAAAATGCATATGTAACCTTTTCTCATACCCTTTACTGCAATGGTTCTCTCCTGTATATTCATCTTTGTCGGCTCCGTTGTCATAACATTTGAGTAGAAGATGCTGTAAAATGTATGGATACCACAGAACAGAAGACAAACACCTAGTGTTTGTTTATAATTGTATTCAATACGCATATAATGAGATGGATGGGTTTGGCTCTTTTCAACAAGCTAACCAATTTTGGAAACCGTTTCAGAGGTACACACATGAATACTTCCTTGTATTTGTTACAGCATTCACCCGATCGGTTGAATCGGCTGCGTCATACGAACACGCCGCCTTTAAATGCAGGTCGCATTCATTCGGATGTGCAAATCCATAGTAAGCGTTTCAGTGGGAATTTGGATTACAAGGGTCCCCAGCTACATGTATACACACTTTAGGATAGTGTTATCAGAGTTTTCCTTCTCCTAGATTGGTTGCCACCCAAATCTATAGGATTCATAAGAAGAGTGAAGATGGATTCATACCTTTCCCTATAGTCAATAGTATATAAGTGAATGTAGTGAACTCAACTTGAATTCGAACTCAGTTCTTCGATTCATCAATCCGAGCCGTTAACCATTACTCCAACGTACTTCCGCGCATGTGTATATAATTTCCAAATGACAATCTTGTATGAAATTTGGTTTTGATCAGGCAGATTGGTAAATTGATTTTTCTCAACGTGAATGATGACGATAAAGGCATTTTCGACACATTTGTTCGTCCTGGGTAAGACGATAAACTACATCCAACAGCAAGGCTACTGATCAGGAGGTTTTGCGGAGCGTGGAACCACCGCTTAATTGCTGGTGTTCACAGGTTCACCCTGACCCGGGGTAGGAGCATCTGTTAGGATCCCAGCCATGGGCAAATAGTTAACCCCAAACTTGGGTCAAAACTGTATGAAAATGTAAAAATAGGTCTTAATACCAGAAATACTTTGTAAAAAAATTATTACCAGCAACAAATTTTTGAAGAAAAAAAATTATTACCAGCAATACATTTTTAAAAAAAAATATTACCAGTAGTAAAAATTTTCGGCATTAAATTGAGGTTGATATGCCGTAAAACAAAACAAACCAAGCAAAAGAACACATTTGTTTTAGGCAAAATAGTTGGTATAGGAGAGTCTTCGAAATTATCTTTGACCATTGAGTCATTTAAACATTCAGTAAGTTTGTTTTACAAATTGAACTGAAGAGATCTGGGATTAATTCAAAAGGAATTCCGAATGAATGTATAATTAAATGATAATTACACAAAAAGAAAATTGTCTCTTTTTATCGCAAAAAAAGTACAGATGGTCGATGAACTTCTAATCGGAAGGCTAAAGTGACGAGAGAATGAAAATCTTGATCGTGTACCTACTGAATTTCTCCCGCATACCCGCTAGGAATATGGGTACTCTTTGTTTGGGAAACCCTGCTCTCGTAGAAGAACATATGAATAAGGGCTGTTTATTCAGTGTCAGTGTCAAAATACGGGTGGAGGCACGATGGAGTAATGGATAGCGGCTCGGATTGAAGAGAACCGAGTTCGAATTTCGATCAATCCATTGCATTCACTTACGTACTAATACCCTTGGGAAAGGTATGAATCCTCTTCTCACCCCCCCCCACCGCCAGCTCTGGGTAAATAGCAGGACAGACTGGGTTCTATAGCCTTGGATGGCAACTGGTCTACCGCGGAAAGAAATGGGAAAAATCTACCTCATCAATCATGTATCGATAGATACATGATCGCTTTAATGTGGATTACGCATGACACATAACTGTCTGTCAAGATACGAAACAATATTGGAATGAAAGGCGTTGCATATAGAGAGAGAATAGGGGCACCTCAAGATGGTGTAATGGTTAGCAGAATGTCTCGCTAGAACAATTACGACTGGGTAGTGAGCTCGATCCTCACAGGGTGCTCCTTAATTTCGACCTTGTGTCACATCTAAGCTACACTTGGAAAATCGCTATAGAGAGAGAAAAGTTGACTAGACTTACTATATTTGTGTGTTTTTTTCCTTTGGCCCTGACAATAGTAAACTTCTGGTACAAGGCCATAATAATCGAGAACTAGGAGGGAATCGAAATTCACTATCCTAAATTGATTATCGGCCATAAGCCGACAGTAGGTGTCTTTAGATAAAGTAGAGGAAGGTCAAAAAGTAACCAATATGGATCGAACTCCTAACTCAAGCGAACCAATCTCCTTGACGTTTCAATTTATATATATATATGTGTGTGTGTGTGTGTGTGTGTGTGTGTGTATGTAGCTTCCCACTTAATGTGCATTTGGGTTATTGGCCTGTCCCTCAATCATTTTATGTTTACCTCAATACCGCAAAACTTCTACAGCCATCAGTGGGGTTGGTTTTCCGCTTTTTTCATTTTCTGGTTAAAAAAGAAACAGGAAGAAGGTAATAAAAAAAAAAGAAAAGCTTTCATTTATGTGCTTTGCTTTCTCATCGATTCCCTGATCTTTGTTCGAGAAAGTTCTTTGTTATTGTACACGAGAGATTAGCGCACAAGGAAGCAAATAACTTATACGGCATTAGCGGAAGCAGAAAGGATCTTCAAAAGCATATACGCTGACGGAATATGAAACTGCAGCACCATAACAGACGATGCCCAGTTTAATATGAATAGAGGATTTACATATTCGTGTGTCTTAGAGATTCTGATAAAATTTTCAATGTCTTCAGAAATTCTTGTAATGTAGCATCACTCCAAATAGTTCATTCTGTCTGAACTTTCGTCTCATTTGCTCTTTTTTCCGTTCCTTTCTCTGTCTCTTATTCCCTTTTCTTTCTTTCTTTGCTTTTTTCTTTCTTTCTTTCTTTTGCTTGCTCTTTAACTTTCCTTTTTTTTTTTCAGGCGCTCTCTTTTTCTTTTTTTCTCACTCTCTCTTGCTCTTTATTTATTTCTCTATTTTCTTTTGTTCTGTCAATTTTTACCTCATTCTTTCTTGCTTTTTTCTTTCTTTTGCTCTCTTCCTCTCTTTCTTTTTCTTTCTTTCTCTTACTCTCTCTCTCTCACTCTCTCTTCATTTTTTGCTATTGCTCTTTCTCTCTATTTTTTTTCATATGTTTCTCTTTGTCTCTGTTTCTTCCTTTCTTTTATTCGCTCTTTGGCTTTCTCTTTTTTTCCCTTGCTCTCCCCCCCCTTTCTCGCTTCGCTCTCTTTTTCTCTGCTCCCATGTCACTCTCTCTCTATCTAACGCTCTCTCTCCGCATTTTTTCTTTTTTTCTCATGCTTGTCTTGCTCTCTCATTCTTTATCTCACTCTCCTTTGCTCTTTATTTCTTTTGCTCCCTCTTTATCTATCTATCTATCTATCTATATATATATATATATATATATATATATATATATATATATATATCCTCACTTTTTTGATATCTTTCTTTCTCTTTTTTTTTTCTTTTCTTATTTTTCTGTCATTCTTCCATTTCTCTATCTCTCTCTTTTCTTTTTTCCATTTCTCTTTCTTTCTTTCTTTCTCTTTCTTTTCTCTCTTTCTCTCTCTCTCTCTCTCTCTTACATACAATCTCTTTTCTGGATTTCACTGCGCAGCAAATGAGTCTGGTGCAAGCATGTTTCTTGACAATGTGAAGAACTCACGGTCTTTTTGTTTAATTCGATTTGTTTGAATGCAATCGAATTGAAGCACACACACAGAAATATATAATATATATATATATATATATATATATATATATATATATATATATATATATATATATATATAAAAAGTAATAGATCCGTTGGTATATAATCCAGGTGGATCCTAGTACATCAGATATTAAAACGGATCCACAGAGACAGTTCAATATATTTATTATAACTGAGTATCTATTTTATACAGCAAAAAAAATCCAAAATTACCTCATGTGGGTATAGTCTATCCGGGTACTGACCAGGTTCGACATTGTTTATCTACCTTGATTGGACGAGAACTTGTGTTTCCGTATGACATGACCATAAGAGATCGTAAAGTACTACGAAGGAAATTACGACTTTGCCCCCACCCACTCTTAAATTCTTTTTTTCCTTTTCTTTTTTAATCATTAAGTATTATTATTATGTTATTTAATATTCTTAGTCTTATACTCTCATATATTCTTGCATATAAAGTCTTATTAAGACACTCAACTCGCTATCTATGATGATGATTCAACCACTTACTCTTATCTTAATACTAAGTCAGATCAGTCCGATAAGGTCAAATTGGTAGCTGATCTCTAAAATGAATTATAACCTGCTGTTAATTATTGTAAGAAATGGTTTCCTAATTTTGAGCTTCCAGAACGAAACTCTTCCCTATCTGAGAGATACTTTTCTGCTTATTCCTCAGCGTGGCTGATGCTAACCTCCAGGAAAGTCACTTGTATGCGCTTTCTCGAGCTAACATTTTTCTGCAGACATGAAGCGGAAAGATTATATTGAAACAACTGCTAGTTCTGCTGCGAGGAAAGTTGGTCTACGTGCCAGTCAATTTTTTTCTCAAAAATCTTTCATATAATTATTTTTCGTCCATGCATTGAATATTGCTGCCACATCTGATCGGTTCCTCCTGCTGTAAATTTAGAGATTCTTGATAAAATCCAAAGAAGAATCTGCGTTCTTATTAGTCACCTTCCCACCGCTATAATGTAGCTTCCCTGTGTATTTCTATAAATATTTTCATAGTAATTGTTTAGATAAACTTTCAATATGGTACCTGGAGTTTATGAATTTAAGCGCAGTACTAGATTGGCAGAAAGACCTCATCATTTTACAGTGGAAATGGCTAGATATAACCGCAAGTTCTATGCTAACAGTTTCTTCTATCGCTTGAGGAACTCTTTTCCGGCTTCTAGCCTCCCAGTTAACTTTGATCTTCAAAAATTTAAATGTAATGTCCATCGTTATCGTCTGGTTTCTTAATTTTTGTTCTTTTATTATTCTGTTTTTCTTCACATACTCTCTAACACTCAGTAACCCCTTTCGTCTTAGTGCCTTTAT